TAACATACCAGGGCTCCTTCGTCTTTTGCTAGTCACTTCTTAATTAACTATTTGGTTTTACAGAGTGTGAGAACATGTCACTAGAAAAGGATTGGCCATAGTTTGTGTTTCCTTAGGATCTTTGTTTCTGTCAAAGATCTGAAACTCAGGGCAGTCGAATCTCTACTTCACAGGGGGAAACAGTGTGCTCTTTCCAAGTATTTTATATGTATATTTACTGATCTCCCACAAAAACACAACAGAAAATAGGGACGCATTTGCACAGATGTGGTGTTACCTTCGATGAAACTGGGAAAGACTATCAAGAGTTTTAGAGATTGAGTTACTCTTGTTTTTAAGATTTATTTTATGCATTCTACTGTGTTAGCTATTTGTAGGTTTAGGGAAGAAAAGCATTTTCTCTGCTCTGCTTGCTAGAGTCAATGTTGCAGCTGCTAGGGAAAAAAAAACACAATGACAAATGACTGCTATTCGCTTTCGCTCTCATTTTTGTAAGTGTTATGCAGGGAGACCAGATGACAGAATCGATGGAAGGTATTTCAAGCCTTTGGTGTTCAATCCTATTACGTTTCAATGCCATTAAACATTAAGAGAAGCATTATCCTCGGCTTCTTACAAAACTACTATTTGTTGGCCAAATGAGAACAGCTCATGCAAAGGAAGCTTAGACAAGCTTTCGCTGATTTTCAGGCCCAGGTGCTCTCTATATCCACAAGGTCTATGAGGTGTGGGCCCAAGTCTACTGGTGTTTTGCACGTCAATCACTCAGGAATCACTCAGCCCAGCAGGGCCCACTTCTGAGAGCTACGGTTCTCACTCTACTGCACCCTACAAACCTCACTGCCTTCCCTCCTACTGCTTCACCCAACAATCCCCTTGAGCGAAAACAAAATGTTTCTGGGCATTCATACCAGGGTTCTTTCAGCATCAATAGCTAGTGCAGCAGCATTTCCTGCAAGTAGGGTTAAATGAATACAGTTCTATGAGTGTTGCAAAATGGTGACATGAAACTAGCCAGGCTTTCTCGGAGATGGTGCCATGCAAACAGGTAGGTGACTAAGGACTTCGATCCAACATGGAGAAGGGCTATGGCAGCGGTTACGCATTGGGTTTCAATCTGAGAGGTTGGCAGTTTGGAACTACCAAAAAGATGCCCCGAGGCTTTCTACTCCCATAAACAGAACTCCCAGGGGCAGCTCTCCCCGGTGCTATAGGGCCACTAGCAGTCGGTATTGACTTGATGGCAGTGAGTGAGCTCAGTGCTAGGCTGCAGAATCTGTCATCCCTGGACATCATGTTATTGCAGACAGGGCAGGTGAGCTCCCCTTGTTCCATCGTATTCACCATATGGAGATGCTTAGTGGCCCTTTATAGAGCAGTTGCTGGGGAGGGACGCATCAAGTGTGTCTGTGCACCCCCATCGATCTTGATGCCCCAGTTCCGTGTGTAAAAATATACACTGGTGTTTGAGTGCATCCTGTAGACTGC